AGAAGACCATGATTAAATTGTTGAAGTGCCTCTTATATGCATTATTGTTAATCTGACAAAAGAGCCCATATTGCCTTGTCTTCTCCTGTTTATTGAATGCTTGCAGATTCCAGCTTAGTCCAATGCACGTGCACTATTATTATTATTCACATCATTCGGTCGTGCAAGTGAAAGGCAATTATGACGATATATGATGGACTGATTGAGATGGGAGAAGCTGGTATGAACTCGACCTCTCTTGTTTTTGTAAATATGATTAGTTCATCGTTCCTGATTCAGCCTATTATGAATAAACATGTTTGCAATGACAATTAGAGATTATAGTTGCTTATGCCATGCTTAATTAGCTAGGAGCTTATAATGGTTTACCTTGCGTGCCAACATGCTATTAAAATGGTTGTGATGTGGTATGATAGGGTGGTATCCTCTTTTGAACGATTTGAGTGGCTTGACTTGGTACATGTTCACGCATGTAGTTGAAACAAAATCAACATAGCCTCTATGATATTTATGTTCATGGTGCATTATATCCTACTCATGCTTGCATTCGGTGTTGATTAATTTTAATGCATGTTCATGACTGTTGTCGCTCTCTAGTTGGTCGCTTCCCAGTCTTTTTCTATCCTTCACCTGTACTAAGCGGGAATATTGCGTGTGCATCCAATTCCATAAACCCCAAAGTTATTCCATATGAGTCCACCATACCTACCTATATACGGTATCTACCTGTCGTTTCAAGTAAATTTGTATGTGCCAAACTCTAAACCTTCAAATAAATATTATGTTGTGTATGCTCGAATAGCTCATGTATCAACTAGGGTTGTCCGTATCTTCCATGTTAGGCGGGTTATTCACAAGAGGAGTGGACTCTGCTCCTCACTCACGAGAAAATGGCTGGTCACCGGGATGCTCAGTCCCATGCTTTATGCAAATCAAATCAAAATAACTGCGAACAAAACTCCCCTGGGACTGTTGTTAGTTGGAGGCACTCGTTGTTTCGAGCAAGCCATGGATTGATGCTTGTTGGTGGAGGGGGAGTATAAACTTTACCATTTTGTTTGGGAACCGCCTATAATGTGTGTAGCATGGAAGATATCGCCATCTCTCGGTTGTTATGTTGGCAATGAAAGTATGCCGCTCAAAATATTATTCATCTCTATTTCAAACCGAGCTCTGGCACCTCTACAAATCCCTACTTCCCTCTGCGAAGGCCCTATCTATTTACTTTTATGTTGAATCATCATCCTCTTATTAAAAAGCACCAGTTGGAGAGCACCGCTGTCATTTGCATCCATTACTGTTAGTTTACATTGAGTATGACTTGACTAGATCTCTTTTACCATGAATTACAATGTCTAGTCAGTCCTTGATCTTTAAAGGTGCTCTGCATTTATGTTTTGCGGTCTCAGACAGGGCTAGCGAGATACCATCTTGTTATGTCATATTATGATTGTTTTGAGAAAGTGTTGTCATCCGAGATTTATTATTATTGCTCGCAAGTTGATTATGCCATTGATATGAGTAAACATGAGACCAAAGAGTTATTGTGAATATGGTTAGTTCATAATCTTTGCTAAAAACTTGAATGCTGGCTTTACATATTTACAACAACAAGAGCAAACAGAGTTTGTAAAAAAGTTTCTTTATCACTTTCAGTTTGTCAACTGAATTGCTTGAGGACAAGCAAAGGTTTAAGCTTGGGGGAGTTGATACGTCTTCGTCGTATCTACTTTTCCAAACACTTTTGCCCTTATTTTGGACTCTAACTTGCATGATTTGAACGGAACTAACCCGGACTAACGCTGTTTTCAGCAGAATTGTTCTCAGAATGACCTGAAACTCCACGGAGATTATTTTTGGAAATAATAAAAAATATTGGCAAAGAATCAAGGCCAGGGGCCCACACCCTAGCCACGAGGGTGGGGGCGCGCCCCCTACCTCGTGGGCCCCCTGGAGCTCCTCCGACCTCAACTCCAACTCTATATATTCGTGTTCGGCGAGAGAAAAATCAAGGAGAAAGATTCATTGCGTTTTACAATACGGAGCCGCCGCCAAGCCCTAAACTCTCTCGGGAGGGCTGATCTGGAGTCCGTTCGGGGCTCCGGAGAGGGGAATCCGTCACCATCATCATCATCAACCATCCTCCATCATCAATTTCATGATACTCACCGACGTGCGTGAGTAATTCCATCATAGGCTTGCTGGACGGTGATGGGTTGTATGAGATTTATCTGTAATCGAGTTAGTTTTGTTAGGGTTTGATCCCTAGTATCCACTATGTTCTGAGTTTGATGTTGCTATGATTTTGCTATGCTTAATGCTTGTCACTAGGGCCCGAGTGCCATGATTTCAGATCTAAACGTATTATGTTTTCATCAATATATGTGAGTTCTTGATCCTATCTTGCAAGTCTATAGTCACCTACTATGTGTTATGATCCGGCAACCCCGAAGTGACAATAATCGGGACCACTCCCGGTGATGACCGTAGTTTGAGGAGTTCATGTATTCACTATGTGTTAATACTTTGGTCCAGTACTCTATTAAAAGGAGGCCTTAATATCCCTTAGTTTCCACTAGGACCCCGCTGCCACGGGAGGGTAGGACAAAAGATGTCATGCAAGTTCTTTTCCACAAGCACGTATGACTATATTCGGAATACATGCCTACATTACATTGACGAATTGGAGCTAGTTCTGTGTCACCCTAGGTTATGACTGTTACATGATGAACCGCATCTAGCATAATTCTCCATCACCGATCCATTGCCTACGAGATTTCCATATATTGTTATTCGCTTATTTACTTTTCCGTTGCTATTGTTATCGTCACTACAAAACACCAAAAATATTACTTTTGCTATCGTTACCTTTTGCTATCGCTACTATCATATTACTTTGCTACTAAACACTTTGCTGCAAATATTAAGTTATCCAAGTGTGATTGAATTGACAACTCAGCTGCTAATACTTGAGAATATTCTTTGGCTCCCCTTGTGTCGAATCAATAAATTTGGGTTGAATACTCTACCCTCGAAAACTGTTGCGATCCCCTATACTTGTGGGTTATCAATGACCGATCCAGACACATCGTCACAAGAGTGTGACAACACGTAAGAGCCCAAAGATCACCACACTGTGACACCAGTCGAACACAACTCGTTCTGGCTGGCAACATTCGTATAGGATAATAGTGCATGAATTATCGTCCCCACAACAATTCACAATAGTCATATATCTATTATATGTATCTACTTTAAAATTATTGACAATAATCATATCAATATTCAACATTATTTATAATAACCATATCTTTAACATTGAGATGGTCATTTAGCTAAGATCTTGCATGTGATACCCTGGCCAATGGCTAAATAGATACAAAGTTAGAGCCATTGTATCCAATTTTTATGAAGTCTTTGAGCTTACATTCTATATCTAGGAAATGTAAAACGAGATGAAGGCGTGAAGAAGGGTGGAGGTAGGTTGACTAATCATAGGAAGATGAATCGATGACAACGATAGTATTAATTTTATATTGATGCAACATGTGTTTGTAATTTTGCAAATTATCTTGTGTGGTGGGAAATACAGTAATTGTTCTTCATTGGATATATAACTGGACTACCATTCGAGGACCAAAAAACCTAATGGCAATTATGGCCCTCTCATAACAATTCCTAAGAGGGGAGCCACTGTTATTTATATTTATTTCAACAACATTAATAGATCGGTGCCAAGGAGCAACCATCAAACACTACAACAACAAATATCTCTGTTGTTAAATTTCTAGGTGAACGTAGATATTTATTACACATGAATTAAGATATTTAAAATCTTACGGTTGTGGTGTATAACTTTATCTACTAGGGTTCCAGTCATGATGCTCGTTTTTACACACATGTTGAAATGTTTAATAAAAAATTAGTGAAATGTGTTGATGTTTTTTTCGCAATCCTTGTTGGTGCATCATACTAATGTATAATGTGTCTACTTGTAACCATAGGCCTCCTTTGGTTTGTAGAAATTTTGTAGGAATTCAATAGGATAGGATTTTCAAAAAAACATTCATTTGGTGCCTTTGGTTTGTAGGAATGGATTCCTATTCCTATGAAGGATAGCAATCAATCCTACATATTTTAAAGAAAAAAACATTATCCTAGCCTTAATGGAAATAATTTATCCTATGTATCAAATGACATCTCTCTCCTCATAGGACCAAAGGTACATGTCATCTCACTTTCTATGATTTTCCTATCCATATGATATTCGTATCCTATTAACCAAATGAAGCCATAATTTTGAGCCTAACCTTGACATAAAAAATGACTAATAAATTATGTGTTGCATCTCAGAAAAATATATCGTTGAAAACTTCTTTCAAATATGTTTTCAATGATATAAATTTTAATGAAAATATATAGCGCAAGCGGCAGCTCGGTTCATCCCACCACACTTATCAATCATTTCAAATTTGCTCGTCCCTTGCCTAAAAACAACACCACATTTGTGCTACGTTATTGTCTGCTAGCCCGCTCCGTTTGCACCCCCAACTCATATAATGTTCTTAGTCAAATTTAGGTTTAAAATTCGAAAGGACCAAGACTGAAAAGTACTTCTAGAACATTTCTCATAAATTAAAGTGAGGTTAATTAAACGAACAGCGGTCTCTTAAATTTGTCAATCAACGTCTGGCCAGTTCCATCGAACATTTTTTTATTGAAAGTCAAACGCGGCCATTCGTGCGCGCCATCATTGGTTATCACTCCTATTTTTGCCTTGTTTTCCGGCCGTTTCATGGGGACTAATTAAGCCAGGCCGTGGAGGAAACTGTTGGATCCGTTTCCTCCTACAAAGCCGCATCGCCTCCAGCTACCCGCCGTTCCCTCCATGCCATTCTCCCCAACCATTCCCGCCGTGACGCCGTAGCCGCGCCTGCATGCGCGCGCGCGCGTAACCAAGAGGAACTAGCTAGCACCGGGCTGTGTCCGGCCGGCCGGCGATGGGGTGCACCACCTCGGTGGAGGCGCGGCGCGACATGCGCTGGGTGGAGGCGGCGGTCGGCCCGCGCGCGAGGCGGAGCTTCTCGCTGTCGTCCGCCGACCGGCAGCGGCTGCGGGCCAAGGCCGCATCCGTGCTGCGCAGCCTCGGCCCCGTCCCGGGCCGGCGATCCGGCGCGTCGTCGAGCAAGTACGCGACCCTGTCGGTCGAGGAGATCATGGTGAAGTTCGAGAACGACCGCGCCTTGCGGGAGGTGCTCGCCCGTCTCAAGGAGACGGCGGCGGCGGCGGCGAAGCGGAATGCCGCCGTCGGGCCTAGGACGAGCACGCCGACGCTGACGCCGCCCAACGAGCCGGAGGTGATCAACGCGTGGGAGCTCATGGCCGGGCTCGAGGACGAAGGGCCCACGCCGCGGGCAACGCATCATGAGCCCCCGCCGACGACACCGCCGTGGATGCTGGCCGACCAGGACGTGCCCGTCGCCTTCGAGTTTGACCCGGAGATACTGTCCAGCTTCCGGGAGGCCCTCGCGCAGGACACGTCGCCGTCACAGCAGCCGAGCACGGCCAGCTCGCCCACGGACAAGGAGGAATCGGCGTCGCAGCAACAGGCGAAGGTCGCCGACGACGCGAGTGCATGCACGCCGGTCTCGCCGCCCACCAGGGACACCGCGAGCTCACCCGCGGACAAGGAGAAGGAGGAACCTGGGTCGCAGAAGGATAAGGACGGCGCCGACGCAAGCGCATGCACGCCGGTCTCGGCGCCCACCAGGGGCATGCCGGAGCTCGCCGGCATCGTGCGCGCCCGCATCAACGCGTTCCAAGAAAAGATCATAGAGCGGAGGACGAGCAACGGCGCCCGCGACGCCAAGGTGTTGGGGCCGCCGGGCGGCAGGCGGAGGGCGGTGGTGTACTTCACCAGCCTCCGCGGCGTGCGCAAGACGTTCGTGGACGGCTGCGCCGTGCGCAACATCCTGCGCAGCTACGGCGTGCGCGTGGACGAGCGCGACGTGTCCATGCACGCCGCCTTCAAGTCCGAGCTCGCGCAGCTCCTCACCGGCCCCAGCGCCGCCGCCACGCTCCCTCGCGTGTTCGTCCACGGGCGGTACCTGGGCGGCGCCAAGGACGTGCAAGCCCTGCACGAGGCCGGCGAGCTCGCCCGCACGCTGGAGGGGTGCGACGCCGCGCCGGTGCGCAAGCTCGGGTGCATGGAGGCGTGCGCGGCGTGCGGCGACGTCCGGTTCGTGCCCTGCGAGACGTGCTACGGCAGCTGCAAGATCTTCGTCCATTACGAGGACGACGAAGACGACGGCGAGTTCCAGCGGTGCCCGGACTGCAACGAGAACGGCCTCATCGGATGCCCCGTCTGCTGCTGCTGATGCTCTGTTTTTTTCCGTTACAGTCTACCGTAGGCTAAAGTTCTCCTGCTGTTTTAGTTGCTTCTACTTTGTACAGTGTGAAGAGCATTTACAGAAGAATCCTACTATATCCGGCAAGAGGTTTTGCTTAGGATCCTACAGTAATAATTTTCTCCCTCCCTAATAAGTTCTGTTGTAGATCTATGAGGTCAAATTTTGTTGGTGAAGAGTGAATACAGCCATATAAATATAGGACTCAGCCTGTGTTGATCTGTGATATTTAGGTTCAGAATTTTACCTGAAGCTGCGTCAGAGATGGAATGTCGGCCTCAACATTCAACGTGGGCAGAACGTTCAGAAAAAAGGCCAACACGTCGACACTAAAATGGATACTGAACTCGAATAAACAAGAGCATCAGAAAAGTCAGAGACATGACTGCACGATCACCTTGACTGAATTCTGCACATAGCTTGTTCAAACCACATTTGTTGTCTGAATAACTGACAGTTTTTTCTAGCTACCACAATACTGTTATTATATACTGTATCATACATAGCATAAATATCATACCTTAAGACTCTTTAAGTTCAACCCTGGTGTCTGAATAACTGACTTTTGTATAACCGACACAACGAACTGTTCGAACGGGGTGTTTATTTCCATTAATGCTGCCTGCCGTGAGCAGCCAGATTTTCAGCGGCCTTCGCGGCGCGGGTGAGAGCCTCGGAGACCATCATAGCTCCCGCAGAGAAGTAGCTGCTGGTCACGATGGTGTTCATAACCTTGACTGCTGTTCTTCCAGTGGCGGTGGTGACGGTCTTGGTCGTCTCGGTAACACGGTATGTCTCATCCACTGATCTGATTGCGCCAACACCAGCACTGACTCTGTCGGTCAGGCCGAGCCTCCGGCTCAGCTCCGCAGCCTTTGCTGCCGCAGACCCAGATAGCTGGTGGGACTCGTCGAAAGCTCTAGCCCTGGACAATGCGTCCTTGCTCAGTATGTATCCCCTTGACAGCATTGTCTTCACGACGTCCTGAGCCACTGTCAATGCTTCCTGTGGAGTGGCGTTGAACTGGCATGATTGGTAATCCTGTTCAAGTTGCGGTGATGAAATGCAAATGTCAGCAGATGAAGTCAAGCTAATATTCAGATTAGCTTATTTGAAACTAATAGTACTCCTGCCAACATTTGTTTGAAACTAATATTCAGATTAGTATTTTCCTCTCCTCTAATAGATACGGCAGCGCTCCTGCAACGTTAAAAAAAACTAATAGTTCTCAGAAAAGGACGTGTTTGTGGTTTATTTCTGCTTTTACTTTTCATGTAAGGAGATAATTTCTAGTAACATTTAACAAAAGACAAAATTACTGACTGAAGATGATCAATGATGTGAATTGGTAGCATACCCTATATTCAATTTCCTCCTCCACCTGCCAAGTTGGCCTGTCCCAGAAATTACAAGGCTCATCAGGTTGTCCCCAACGAGATATGCACACCGGCTGATCCACAATGGTAGCCCCCTGTAAAGACATGAAGTGTTATTTAAGGGGAAAACAGGGAGTGTCTGCAATTTACAAGAGGTGGGCTGAAAAAACAGTCATCTGGACACTAATTTACAACAGGTGGGCTGAAAAAACAGTCTGCAATTTACTACCTCTGTTCCTAAATAAAGACATTTTGTCAGTTTAAACTGAACCAACAGGACATCTTATATTTAGAAACAGAGGGTGTACATCTTTAAGGACTTCACCAGTATAGAATCTGAGCTAAACTATGTACTTGAGATGATGGAACATAGGGGGCAGTCTATACTAACACATGCGGAAAAACCAAAGTAATCTCCTGGCCAAGGGAACTTAATTCACAGTGAATCAGTAGACCATAGAAGGTTAAGAATTAATCATAGGAATCAGACACATCATGATAAAAAAAAGGCCCAGAGCACTGCTTTGAAAAATATTGCTGCCAATAAAATTAAAAAACTTACACTCAGCAATACTGCAGTTTCCAATGCATAGGGTTCCTTGAAAGTCACATAAGCAGTTGAGCCATATCCTCCTGATCTGTTAGTGTTAAATTCGTCAGAAAATGAATGATAAGAAGGACAGGACATGGAAATAACACGGAATTTTAAATTGTCCAATAGGGTTATGGTTGCAGATTGAAAATGATCAGAAAACATAAAATTGCGGAAACGCTAAAAAGCTGACGTTTTTCATGGCAGTTTATATTGGCACAATGATGGCAAATTTAGTTTGAAAGCATGGCAATTTCCTGCCAAAAAAAAGAACTGAGGCGGATTTGCATGCTCTGACAACTAAACTTGCCACCCCCGGCAAACATAATTTGCCATGAAAAACGTTCAATTTGCCATGCCTAAAAATCTGACATTCGCTGGATATTCGGGTCCTAAAATTGTCCTAGGACCGAATGTTCAATAAGCATGATGAATCTTGAAACTTGCTCGGCAGGTCTTGACATCATAAATAATCATGAAGATCATCATAAAATTCTCCTAGGACCGAATGTTCAATAAGAATGAGGGAGTAGTTAACTAACTCTAGCTTATGAATGGCAAGTAAACATCACCTGATAAGGTCTATATGCTCAATAGGTCCAGAGAATGAGAAGAACTCATGAAGATCATTCTCAGATGCGCTGCTTGACAGGTTAGTGACTTCCACTGTGTACCCTGTTCCGCTCATGATTCTGTAGGTCGGCAAAAACAAAGGATGAGCATTTCCTGCAGTTAGGTTCCATGTGCCTCAAGTAATTCAATGCGCAGATCATAGTAGTATAGTGATATCTGAGAGCTGCATACTGCCTTAGAACTTATCAATAGATTATACCTCTACGGACAAATACATGATTATATCTCTGTGCATTATGCTATTCTATGAGATATGTTCTGTTAATTTACTTATTAAATTATGTCCGTCTTCCGTACAAGCATGGTATAGGAACGATACTAGTACAGAAGGTGACCTGCATATAAATAGAAACAAATTGCATCGTACGGTCTTTTCTCTTTATTTCTTCATTCTGACCGTGACTTGCTAGATGAAGGATTTTTAATAACATCGCATTATGCTTTGTGGAAATTGCTGCTGCCGTGTGCAATAGCTTTCCACCTAATAAGCTTTTTATGGGCAAAAGGTTTTCAGCTACTTGCTTATATTGGCCTACTGGGCTTTTGTTTGCCAAACAAAAAGGTAACATCCAACCACTCGCATTATTTTGCGCCCAAAGCCATTCACTGTTCAACCAGAAGATTGCAGGTTCCAGCAGATATCCCACCCAAAACAGTTAGATGAATGAACTATGATCATGATTTGCCGTAGTGCAAAGTGACACATATATAGAGAGATGCATATGGCACATACATGTAATCGATAGTACATACTAGCAGTACAATCTGGAACTGAATCGGACAAGGTTGAATGAGATCAGAGCACAGACTAATAATTGAACAACACGAAAGAAATAAACCGAAGACACTAACAATCAACTAACTTAATCACCCATCAGCCGGCCAAATCAAGCAGAATCCGGGTTCCTAACAGACGGATCATCGGAAGAAAACAAGATCAGGAAAGAAAGGAGCGCTTACCCCTCCTCGCGGTCTCGCCCTCCCTGCCCAGCGCCCAGTGCCGAGACTCCTCCTCCTCCTCCTCCTCCTCCTCCTCGCGGCCCCTCGCTGCAAAGCAATGGATCACGCGGTGGGTCTGGGTCTGGCTGGATAGTAGTAGGTCGGGAGGCCGCCGCCAGCACGGCACGGCACCACCCACCGCACGAAGGGAAGGGAAGCCGCGCCGGTCCAAACTGGGAAACCCAGCGGCAGCGGTGGCCTTTAGTGCGTGGGGGCGGGGCGAGACCTCGATCTCCTACCTAACTGCAACCGACGCGCGCCTTTTTATCCTTCCTTTTTCTCTCCTCACGCAGCCGCAGGCACGCGCGCGCACAGCGTGATCCGCCGCCGCCGGGATGGGGTGGTGGTCTTCTCGCCTCGGGGTTGGGTTGGGTTGGGGGGGATGGAGTGGGAGTGGACGGCTGGTTCCGTCCAATCGTCTGTTCGCTCGTTCACATGGAGCGAAACCACCCGGTGGCGACAAGATGTCGGCAGCCCTATCCGCGGCCTTCGGGCCTACATTCGGCATTCAGTGGGCCGGGCTTCCGCTGGACCCCAGACTAGCCCTCACTCCAAACTACTCCCTCCATTCCAAAATAGATGACCCAACTTTGTATCAACTTTATAGTTTTTTACTTTCATGTCACCTGTTATTTTTCTACTGTTTTTAGGCATATTATACAAGTGCAAGCCGTAATCTAATTCGTGTACTAGATACCGTTGAAGTATCACATCGTGCTTTATGTTTATGATGATTAAAGGCATGAGAGCAAGGTGTAAAATGCCGTCACATAAAAAACTTACAACCCCACAAAAAATATCCAAAAAGTTCAGAATACCTGGGAAATCTTTTGGATTGCGATCTATCAAAATTTACCCGTTTTTAAAGAAGTTTAACCTAACTTAAATTTCCTTTGAAAATGGTTTGAATTTGGCCCACAATTTCAAGGTTACACATATTAGGCTATGCACCAAACTTGCTGAAATCTCATCAAAATATAGTCGCGGATCAGGCTGATGAAATAAATCCGTAATTCTCGCTAAACTTTTGATAAAGAACAAATTTTGACTCAACATTGATATTAAGCTCTTGGTAGGTGTAAAATCATCCTTCCATGACTATACATCTCACGACAAATGGTTCCCAAATATCATGTTGGTAGTAGTACTAGAAGATGGATATTAGCTTTTATTTACATGAATGTAGGTTTTTATTCGTTTCATGACGGGGAAGGGTTCATGGCTCAACTTTATTTTGTTTTGTATTATGATTCTTCTTATTTTTTTGAATTTTTCTTTATTTATATATGTCGCTTTCTTTATCCCTTTTTAAAAATTTTGTTTCTATTTTTGAATAATTTATATAATATATAAAGATGTTTAGGGCGAAGGTTTAAAAGTCTACGACATAAATTTTTGAACCCCACAAAAATATCCAAAGTTTCAGAATGCATGAGAATTGTTTTGGATTTAAATATGTCAAATTCACTAGGTTCTAGGAAGATTTGATCTTGTTTAATTTTGATTTAAAGTTAGTTTAAATCTGTCAACAACATTTGAGGTTATAAATATCTTATTACCCACCGAAACTGCTAAAATTTAATAAATTTCATCAAAATTTGGTCAAGAATTATTTCATCAAAATTTAGTTGAGAATCGAGCTAATGAAACAAATCCCTAATTCTCGATAAACTTCTGATTTAGAAACAATTTTGACTCAGCATCGATATTAAACTTGTGGTAGGTCAAAAATCATCCTTCCACGGCTCTACATCTCACAACAAAATGGTACCCAAAAATCATTTTGGTACTACTAGAAAATGGATATTACTCCCTCCATTCCAGAATATAATTAAGGTGCATTAGTTTTCATGCAAGTCAAACTTACTTATGTTTGACCAAGATTATAAAAGAAGATTTCAACATCTATAATACAAAATTAATAAAATGTGAAAGTACTTTTAGTGATGGATCTGATGATAAAGATTGGGTATTGTAGATATTGATATTTTTTTTTCTAAAAACTTGGGTTGTAGCCCACTAGGAGATAATCCCTACACTAGGAGGAGGCTTCCTTGATTGGGCTTGGGCTTCTTTGCTCTCTTGCCTTATTCTCTGACTTATATTTTTATGTTATCTTCCTCTTTTGATTTATTGACCAAGAAGCCTTTCGTGCACTTTCATTGACCATTGTAGTCTGCTAAGACACATGGGTGTTGGCTTGGACTATTGTTGACTTCCTTGACTTGTGTTGACCGTTTGTGTGGCATTCCATGTAGGATAGGGAGTGAGAGCTTCAACGGGTTAAAATCCATTACTATAAAAAAGTTGATTTGAACCTGCCCACAAATTTTGAGGTTACAAATATCTCCGCACCCATTGAATTTCTAAAATTTAAGAAACTGATGAAGTATCACATCGTGCTTTTATGTTTATGATGATGATTAAAGACATGCGAGCAAGGTTTAAAATTCCCTCACATAAACAACTTAGAACCCCACAAAAAATATTCAAAAAGTTCAGAATACCCGAGAGTTCTTTTGGATTGCGATCTATCAAAATTTACCCATTTTTAAAGAAGTTTAACCTAACCTAAATTTCCTTTGAAAATGGTCTGAATCAGGCCCACAATTTCGAGGTTACACATATTTTGGTACACACCAAAATTGTTGAAATCTCATCAAAATATAGTCGCTGGTCAAGCTGATGAAACAAATGCATAATTCTCGCTAAACTTTTGATCAATAACAAATTTTGACTAGGCATCGATATTAAACTCCGATAGGTATAAAATCCTCCTTCCGTGACTATACATCTCATGACAAATGGTTCCCAAATATCATGTTGGTAGTAGTACTATAAAATGGATATTAGCTTTATTTACACGAATGTAGGTTTTTACCGTTTCATGACGGGGAAGGGTTCATGGCTCAACTTTATTTTGTTTTGTATTACGATTCTTCTTTTTTTTGAATTTTTATTTATTTATATATGTTGCTTTCTTTATCCCTTTTTAATTTTTTTTCTATTTTTGAATAATTTATGTAATATATAAAGATGTTTAGGGCGAAGGTTTAAAAGTCTATGACATAGATTTTTGAACCCCACAAAAATATCCAAAAGTTCAGAATGCATGAGAATTCTTTTGGATTTCAATTAGCAAGATTTGATCTTGTTTAATTTTGATTTAAAGTTAGTTTGAATCTGTCAACAAAATTTAGGTTATAAATATCTTGATACCCATCAAAACTGCTAAAATTTAATAAATTTCATCAAAATTTAGTCGAGAATCGAGCTAATGAAACAAATCCCTTATTCTCGCTAAACTTCTGATTTAGGACAAATTTTGACTGAGCATCGATATTAGACTTGTGGGAAATCATCCTTCCACGGCTCTACATCTCATGACAAAATGATACCCAAATATCATTTTGGTACTACAAGAAAATGGATATTACTCCCTCCGTTCCAGAATATAATTAAGGTGCATTAGTTTTCATGCAAGTCAAACTTTCTTATGTTTGACCAACATTAAGAAGAAAATTTCAACACCT